GTGCAGTGAGGTGCCGGGGGGCGTGAGGGGGTTCCAATTGAATATGGCACGTTGGACATAAGTGTACCACTGCTCCCTCCAGCCACTAGGTGGCAGCATTTCATACAGTGGTTTGTACAGATAAAAATATACACGTTATCAGGTTCTCACTAGGACACAATAAAAACGATTCTATTCTAAACGCAGAACTCGGGGTTTTAAGGTTTTAAAGTACATTGTATACCGTATATGCAGTACTTACGATGGACAGACGACCTTTTTGCCCTTCTTTCCCTTCGATTTTCCTTCCTTGGCTGAAGTGAGGTGACAGCAGCAGAGCAGCAGCCACAGAATGGTCACCTGTCTCATTATGGCAGACATAGTGCCTAAAACAGTAAAAAAAAAAAGATTGATTGATCAAAACATTTACAGCATTTACAGGCCCATTAAAACTACTAAAAGCTACTAAAAAAAAAAATTGGCTCCACTGTTTGTGGGCCAGATAGCATTAATTCAATTTTTATAAGCTACCCATTCTCAAGAATCCTACATAAGTCTACGGACAAACCTACAGGACCTGGGACCTTCTAGTAACCAATCCAACTCAAGACTTAATTTGTTAGTAAGGTGAAAAGTTAGTAAGGTGAAAAGGGGCGAAAACCTGGTTAATACTTAACTTCCGATTCTGATAACAACCGATACTGATACATGCAGCCGTATTTCCCCCAAATAATTTTTAAGATCACATCACATATCTATCTTAACACATTAACTTTCTAACTTTTTTAAGCAATTTCAGCATATCTGGCGAAACCCCAGATGTTGCGTTATTGGGTTTTCATTGTCGGTGGGAAAAAAAACGATAACGATTCTTACCATACCTTCCTAAATTTTTAAAGCGATTTCAGCATATCTGGCAAAACCCCAGATGTTGCATTATTGGGTTTTCATTGTCGGCGGGAAAAAAAAACGATATCGATTCTTACCGAAGAATCGTCTTACCGAAGATTAATTATGCTAATATGAGGCCGATGATATCGATCGGCCAATATTATTGGACGTCCCTACCAAGTTGCCGATTATAGAAAAACATGTACATGTGTGTTGTTAAAACTTTGGGAAGTTTGAGGAAACACTATGAAACACCTTGAAAGTTCCACAATATGGCCGTCCAGTGGAGGTCACGGGGGTTATCCGTGGTGTCCACTCCAGTTAGGCTCCTGCACGGGTCAGCGCTCCAGGTGCAGGATGACCGTGCAGACCAGCAGCCAGAGGCGTTTAATGACATCTTTTACCTCTCACTGTCCACATGCTCCGACCCCAACAGATTTGGATTCATGCCGCCACCATAAATCCCAGGAAACCATACATCAGCAGCTTACGTCACCGCAGACCAGGAGCTGTGGTGACGTAGAGCTGTGAGAACATTGTGGATGAAAACACATAAAAAAAAAAAAAAGAAAAAAAAAACCCCTCTTCATCTCATTCTAGTCCAACACTCATTTGCATACGGAGCAAACAGGTCAACAGAGGAGGACATTAATTCAGCTCTTCGTCCTGCGCTGATTCATCTGGAAAACCATGAGTTATACAGAGGTGAGACAGATGCCAGGAGTTTCTCTTCTCTGTGTGTGTATTAGTTTAGTGGATGTGGTGGCAGAAGATGAATCTGCCGTGTTTATTAGATGCCCGATAAGTCTATACTTCAATACAGTGAGAGTTCCCAACCCCTGGTCTGGGGACCGGTGCTGGTCCGTAGGTCACCGCCATGGGACACAGTGATATGTACATTAGTTTTATTTATTTACTTCATTCAAAAAAAAAATCAAATTTTTTTTGCAATGCTTCATAACAAATAAGCCATTCCGACTCTGATACTAACTAAGATGTTTAATTTTGAAAATTGAATTATCCTTCTGCGACGGTGTGGTATTATCGGTCCGCAGTAACGGCTGAAAAATGTGACCCCCTGAGCGATGTTTAAAGAGTTATTACAAAGATGTTATAATTCACAATAAACTAACCCCTTCACTACATGGGTAAGTTAACTCATTAGCTTGTCTATATTTAGTGTCTCGTGACGCTTCACAGCCAATCAGTGCATGAGGTGAAGCAGGATGTAAGTAATTGTTAGCGTGCCATATGTTTTGTAGGGGGGAAAAAAACAACAGCAATGCATTATTTTTGCTTTAATGATTTTCTTCGGTCTTTGATGCGCGTCGTCTTGAGTCCATGGTTGGTTTTGCACAAAACACAGTATTATCTGGCAACACCGGTTAGCTTAGCAACTACTTCTGGTCTTCTTGTGGGGGCAGATCGTCTGCCACCAACTCACCCCAGCTCTTCTCTGCAGTGGTATTGACTAACCAAAGACTGACACTACACTTTCAAAACAAACCTTCAGAACAACCAACTATCCCTGCATCAGTTAGGACGATTGTTGCATTGATTGTTCCGTTACCTTTCACTGACAAAGAAGTCGTCTTAAAATTGCCCTTCGGAGACTCGCAGTTGGCGCGCGACTGCGTCCATCTCGCCGGTGCCAAATGATCAATAAAGTCAAACGGACACCGGAGTCTCGTGGAACTCGTCTGACAGGCCGATAGTCTGATGTAGTGTTAATGGTTGAACTCATTAATACGATGCCAGTGACCTTCCAATTAAAATCGGGGTAATCATCGTGATAAGTGCCCGGCCTTTTCCATAAAACGCGACGACCTTCCGGTTTCTCGAATCCGCTTGAACAATAATAACACAGATAGCTGAACAATGGACTGCGATGGTGGCCGACTCTGCCTGCCCGCGCTGCTGCTGCTGCTGCTGCTACTGCTGCTCCATCGACTCAGCCTGACAGCTTTGAAATAGCCTGCCAGCCTTTTTTAAACAGCTGCCCTGCTGCAGTTTCCTCCAACCCACGGTCTCTGCAGGACCATACAGAACAGTGGTGTCATTTTTGTGTTTCTGTAAACCACAGATACGGTCAGTCTGAGCTTACGTGTGTCAGCCATAATTGTATAAAGAAAATTATTTTCCGAAAATTTCTTTTACCTGGTTAGAACGTTTGGAATGTTTGAATAAATCGCGTTACGTTTAAATTAAGGCCGAGCGTAGTCGTTATGTGATTAGATTCAGGGAACGTTCACGATTGGTCTTTCAGAGTCAGAACCAGACAGTGCAGTTTCTACCTTCCTTTTGCTGTTGCCTGCTGCCCAGGCGCACCAGAAAAGTGTTTCATGACAGCACATTTGTCTGTAATAATGTCTAATACACTAATACTAATACTTCTTCATGTTTTTTTTTCAAGCAATCCCATTAACTGCTTTTTTTTTTTTTTTTGAGGTTTATTATTTATTGTTTATTTTGCAGCGGTTCAAATCAATGGAAAAACAAATGATGACAAATACCGTATTTCCCGGACTGTAAGTCGCTCCGGAGTATAAGTGATGGAAAAACAAATGATGACAAATACCATATTTCCCGGACTATAAGTCGATCCGGAGTATAAGTCGCACCAGCCAGCTAGAGTGCCCTCTACCGGCTGTCAGTGTGAAAAATAATAAAAAATGTAGATTTTCAGTGCTACAGGAGTAGCAGGTACTGGCACACAAGCCTAGAGTGCCCTCTAGTGGCTGTCAGTGTGAAAATAATGAACATGTGAAATGATATTTTTTTTAATATATAAATCGCGTATATCGAGTATATGTCGTAAACCAAGCCAAAGGATGAAAAAAAAAGTGCGACTTATAGTCTGGAAAATAAGGTGATTAAACAAAGGAATAAATTAGCTAAACCTCTAAATCCATCCAAGACAGGAGAATACACTGAATTGTCATTTTATTTATATACATTCTTCCTCATTACTATTACTATAGTATTCCATTTGATACATTTTGCTTGAAATACCTCAAAACACTGTCACTTTAAAAAAGGCTGACGCTGCACGAGTGAAACGATTTGGCAAAGACTTGAATTCCCCCTTCTGTCACAAAAGAATGATCAAATCTTCACAGCACAGGCTGCTCTAGCTCCACTCTAAGTTTTTCTCCCACAATGCTTCAGTAACACCCCCCATAAACCAAGCATCTAAAAGAAACAGCGGCGTACGTTGAGGCTCTTCATCATGCTCTTGTCATGCTTCTCCGAGCGTATCCTAAATATAACATAAGGTCTCTCTTCCTCTCCTCGCTGGATGTTAATTTTCGCCCCCCTCCTCAATACGAGTGGGTGCTTTACATCACCGAGCCTCCTGGGTTTTACTGATACACTGGCGCATTATAACGGCAACGCCGAAGACGGCTGAGGAGGGAGGAACGAGAGGGGGAGGGCAATTTGTTCTCGCTGACTCAGCGGGAAATAGCTCTCCCTCAAACACACGCATTTTTTTTTTTTTTTTTTTTTAGAGAGAAGTGCAGACCTTATTTTACATCAGCGCCGACTTCCCTCTCACAGGCCACACGCACACGAAAACCTGTAACAGCTGTTATCGCAATCCTAGTATTAT